AACATTTTCTTATGATTGAGAAATTGCATATATAAACCGAATATGATTTACATTTACATTTTTTATATTTTCTTTTATAGATTTTCTTTTAATTTTGATAAAAATGAATGTGGGTGGGTGTGGATTTATTGAAGGAGAAGGAAATTTTTTGGTAATTACTGAGAGTGGTGAGGAATTGTGTAGATTTATTTAAAATAAATTATAACTACTTATCTACCCTTAATATGTTCGTTTCTCTTTTCATATAATAAGGGTAAAATTGATAAAATAGGGACATAAGAGGTATTTTCTGAAACAGTAAGCTGCATGTGGGCCCAGCCCCCAGCCCCCAGCCCCCAGCTTGCATAATTGCTTACTTTACCTCACGCTTCTCTTCTCTTGCGTTTCTCACTCTCCCACTATAACGAATCAAAAGATTACCATTCCTCTGGTCGTTGCTAATTTTTTTTTAAATTTGATTTAATTAATTATTATTTTTTTCCAGCAGCCAATTGTTGAATGAACAAATTGGCATGCAGATCTGCTCTTCTGTAGATTCCTCATGTTTTGCTACTCAAACTAAATGGGCCCAATTTGAAAGTGAGCAGCCCATCTAATTCACTGAATTGGCTTTCTTGCAAATGTGAGAGAAGATAAATGATGTAGGCGTGGTTGTCACTGTCAATCCATCCATAAACCTATACAGATGCAAATTAAATTGCGTACTGAAAATTCTTGTGCAACTGATTTCAGTGTGACTTTTTTTCCTCCCAGTTGTTGGATACTATTTTTTATTTATTTATAAAAGTAATATTGAGAGAGCGGAGATTCCAAGTTCGAGGAAGGAGACGAGCGAGTGTCTGCCTCTGAAATATGTCTCCCACGTATCGTAGACGAGGGATTGGGCCCCGATGTTGAGGCAGAGAAAGTCGTACGGATACTCCTTGTGCCTGTCCTTTTCGTGCCAGCGCCACATCTCCTCGGTCTCGGCCGTGATGCCGACGAGAACGGCAGATTTGATGGAGGACTTGAGCCATTTGGTGACGATGGACTCGGAGTGGGTAACGATGGTCAGGATGCGCTGGGTGTCCACGTGGACGGTGTAGGCGTCCGTTTTGGGGTCTACGATGGTGTAGTCGCGCTCGACGGTGATTTCAAGCACCATTGTTGTGGGTTGTGGCTCTCTCACTCTCTCTTCTCTCCTTCCTCTTTCTTCTCTCACACACTAACCACGCACGCATCAACCAAAACGAAGTCGTGGAACAAGCCACGCGTTGTGGCGCGTAGCATGTAAAGCACAGCGCATGCAACCCACGTCTCGCTGCAAATGAACTGCAGAGAGACTACTGACTCTTTTACCAGTAAAGGAAAAAGGTAAAAAATTACTGCAGCAATCATTTTGGCCAAAATTACTGCAGCAATCATTTTGGCCAAAATTACAGCTGTGCAGTACTATAACTACTAAACTTGCTGAGGAAGTAAACTATCCAAATATTTGCAAATAAAGTACCATCCAAATTATATAAACTATTACCATACAAAGCATTGCATTGGCAGCTACACACAGAGAGATGGAGACTTGCAGAGTTACCCATTTAGTATGCGAGTGGCGACCTTGCAAAGCTCACGAGGGATCCCAAGTGCCCACAGTTTCAATTGCACATCAAATTTACTTTCATCCAACATTTTCCTCTTTTTTTTGTAGAATAAAAAAAAAGGCCTAAAATTGAAGCATGAACTTCAATGTTAGTATCTAAAGAAAAAGGGAAACTGGAAGCCGGAGCTTCTTAGACCAACGGATACTGCGGTAGGCTGCAGATTGCTCCGAGAGAGGGAGTAGGGTTTAAGCAGTTCAAATGGCGGGTGGAAAACTATCCTAGTACGGTGTCGTTGCCGCCAAGAGGTTTTCGGGATCCTACTCAAACTAAATGGGCCCAATTTGAAGGTGAGCAGCCCATCTAATTCACTGAATTGGCTTTATTGCAAATGTGAGAGAAGATAAATGATGTAGGTGGGTGGGTGCGTCCAAGTTTTTCTCCCACACGGCATGGTTCTCAATCCATCCATAAACCCATACACATGCAAATTAAATTGCATACAGAAAATTCTTGTGCAAGTGATTTCAGTGTGACTTTTTTACCTCCCGGTTGTTGGATACTATTATTTTTCCTATAAAAGTAATATTGAGAGAGCCGATATTTGAAGTTCGAATAAAGGACTTTGAATGTAAGAGTAATTACTTTTAACCACTTAAACTACAAACTCTTGCATTAAAAATTTAATATATTATTATTAGGTACAACTTTGAAGTTTCCACTACCAAATTAAATAAAAGGTGTATATAGGCTTTTTATAGTTAGGAAATAAGGATATCTTATTTTGTGGACTATGAATGTATAATCGAAATCATTCAATTTTTTATTTTTTATTTTTCTAGGGTAATTCATGCGAATAATAAAAATACATTGCTGAATATCCATGAGAAAGTTGCCTGCGCTTGGGTTAGAATAAAAATACATTGTTGAATATCCATGAGAAAGAGCATCGCAAAAATTCATAAACATAAATTCATACATATTAGAAGTCATTGAATCATCGTATAATCAACACAAGAGTTGTAATAAAGGAACAAGGAAAAAAAAGAAAAAACCTTAATCATAAAAGAGAATAAGAAATGAAACATTAGCTAGAAAGACATAGAGGCAGCTTTCAAAAGCTAGATTAATCTAAAAGTTGGTACCACCCAAATTGGGGGGCACTGGGCCATCTTGGTCATCGTCTTAGTAAGTGTGCTGTAAGGTGCTAAAAAGCATTGGTTTTCGACGTCGTACGCACCAAAATCAACTCCATATTGCAACTCATGATTACTGAAGGCTCTATCATTAAAATGATTGAAGTATATAAAATTTGGTTGATATCCTGGAAAATTTGACGCCGGCACAGCTAAGGAAGAGTTATCACCCACAAAAATAGCGATATCACCCAATGTTTTCTTCTCAATCCACTTATGCTCATCGAAATTCAATTCGAAAATTTTGACTTGCTTCGTGACATACATATCATCTTCGTCTAGCTCCGAAAGTCTGTGAACCATCAATAGTTCTTTATCATTCAAAGCCACAAGATATTGCAACATGAACGGTGTTCGCTTAATACCTTGTGCAACAAATTTTATATCTGAATAGGATTGAGTAGTAATATCAAAAGTAAAAATTCTGCTCCATACGTCAACAACATAAAATTTGTTTTCAATGCAAACAACTTCGCGTATTCCCGTCACCTCATCAACATAAGTCCATGTTGTATCTTTAGAGAGTCGGAGAAAAGCCATATTAGAATAATGCCCAAATATCACCACAACAACGCACTCGTTTGCATTTAATATTGGGTCTGCTGTTAGCGTAGCCTTGTGGACATAATACTCATAATTTTCTGTCCAGAATTCCAATGCACCACCCTTATCATCTGGAGGCGTGATTAATGGAGGAAGGCGAATGATTGAATTTTCTTTTTCTTCCTTCCCTTTGGTTCTAGACAATGGGTCTAGTAGGGTTACTGCAAAGTTTTCTTCCCCGATAATTACCCATCCTTTTGAAGACCCACAAAAGCGCTTATTTGACAAGTTAACTTGCAAATCCAAAACTTTTTCATCCATGAGGTTGCATAAGTTCCATGTACCTTCTTGGTCAGTAGAAACCATAAGCATTGGAGGTTGGTCACGACCTAACAGCTTAGCACGATGACTTTGATTATGTTTTGCTACAGAGTGCCATGACATACACATAATACTGAATCGCGCAAAGTCTAATTGCGCCACTAATCTATCTACAACTAAATCTAAAAGATGTTGAGGTAATCCAGCCCAATCTGAAAGACAAAATAAATATTTGTGAGTAAAAGAACATGAGAAGGAAAACATGTTTTGAAATCAAGAACGAGTTATAAATTATATACTTTGATTCATGGAAAATTAGAGGATATTATATATGATAATAAGTTGCAAAATAAATGAATAAAACAAAGATAATAGGATTTGTATAGAAAAGTTTCATTGAAGAGAACATGCCTGAATCCATGATTTTCTAACCGAGAAGAAGACTGCCCTGCCCTGAATCATATATGAATCAACGAGATGATCACCCCTTATATACAAGTAATTCCACTCCCTTTCCCTAATAGAATATGATTTTAAAGAAAAAAAAGAAAAAGGAAACAAGACAATAAATTAGGAAAGTAATTAGACGAAGAACACGTTCTACAAGTCCCTGATAGAATAGGATTTTTTTATATTTATATATAATAATTAAAAAAAAATTTAAAAAGGAAACAAGAGAATAAATTAGGAAAGTAATTAGACGAAGAACACGTTCTACAAGTTATTTCCTTTTATATTTAATTAGGTAACATACCCCTGCATTAAAAATTCGATATATTATTATTAGGTACAACTTTGAAGTTTCCACTACCAAAATAAATAAAAGGTGTATATAGGCTTTTTATAGTTAGGAAATAAGGATATATTATTCTGTGGACTATGAATGTATAATCGAAATCGTTCATAAAGATGGGTTAGAATATAAGTGCACCCTCTTTCTGCTTGCTGACTTTGGTAAATACTAAATATTATATAGTTGCTCAACCAATATATCCTTTTCCCATCTTATTAGATAACTTGTTGGATTACAATAGCTCAACTACCAATTTATTCACATCCACAAATTAACATTCGACGGAAACTTCAACCAACCAAATTACAATTTATGCATGTCATGGATTCACATGAAGCAAAAGAAGCAAATCTGAGGTCAAAATTACAAAGAATCATTCTTTAGCTTTGGTGTATAATTTTGGCCTTGCCCTTGAAAATTTGAGTCCTTGACCCGAAAGCTCTATCACCAACCATGCTTCCCTTAACCGCAGCTTTTCTTCCTCAGCTTTCACTTTGAACTCTTGGAGAACAGCAGAAGCGATAAGACTGTGCCACACGTGGCCCAATCAATTTGGAAAATTCTTGGAGCTAGCTAGCTCTGGCTATTGGCTAATCTGATATGGAGTGGTCGTGCCAGCAGAGGAGCATCGAAACGCAGCGTCCGAGGATGTAGAACCGGGTCTTTTGGTGCTTCGCCATCATCAAGCACCGCTTTCGAAACCCCATTTTCCGGTGGCTTTTCCGGCGGACTCGGCGTCTGACTTGGTTTTGGGGAAAATTAGAACTTGTCATGGAGAACTGGCGGCGGCGAAAATCGGGAGGCAAGAAAGACGAAACTACAGAGTTAATTAGTGTTTGAAAATAAATACGTAGTCATATTTTTCACTTCCCACATCAAAACTCTGTACAAATTCCTCTCCTCATATCTCATGTGAATAGTGGTTGTCATAATCAAAGGAAATGAAGGCTACGACTGTCATACTGACTTTTCACAGATTTTGGAGATATGCCCTGATCAACCAATACAGTACAGATTGTATGCAAAAATTACTGAACGATGAAAATTTTGAAATATAATTGTTACATTTTTCAGATGCAAGTCCATTTCATCTCCCACCGTCAACATGATTTGCAATTTTTGCAAAATGGAAGGTTTCAAGTGCTTTAACAGACAGCAGTTGCTCGTATATTGCAGGGGTTTGGCTTTCTAAGCTCTCAAAAGGAAGAGGCCCATTCGCGCAACTCCCTCTCCGTCAGCAGAATGAGAGACAGTGGCATCTTAAATAAGGCACCCTTCTGGCAGCCTAAAGCTTAAGCAAAACATTGCCTGTGAGATAAGTTGAAAGATCAGAAGACTTCAAGACAGTAAGTATATTAGTAAATATCCACTATAAGCATATGTATATCCACTGTAAATAGTTCCAAATGTTAATACCTTGTTTGGAGCAACATCCCTAACCCTATGAAATATTGGATCTTTTATATGGGCATTTAAACCGGACTCTGCCACCTGCATATTGTTGGAAACACAGGTTATGTGAGCGCAAAGGTGTTAGAAGAACTGGAACATGCATACAGCGGACTACTACACTGGCTCATTAGGCAAAAGGTCAATTTTGATCAATCAAAAGCCAAGTGCCTACGCTACCAGTACACGTCAAAGACCTTAGAGACATTACCAATTAAAGGACTTGTGTAATTATCAGAAGCTTTTAGTTAGATTTAATAGTCATACAGATAAAACTTACTGAAATAATATATTCTTGCGTTTCATTGGCCCTTATGAAGCAATAGCAGTGAATCCAAGGAAGTGATCCCGTCCAATACTTTCTCTGGATCAGACCCCTAAATGCTTCTGAATGAAAACGTATGCAGATATTAAAAGCAAATTTACTTGTCTTACTTCTACTATTTGGTTCAAGCAGAGATATACTATTTGCACTCAAACAAAAAAGGATGTAAATCCCAAAGGGTATAGATAATCAGATTCAAAACTATCCACAAAAGGCATCTGTACCTAGAAATTGAAGAGCAGAAGCAGGTAGATTCATTATCACATGATCAACATGCTCCCAAGTCTTAACATCGGAGATCTCAGGGCCTCTCATTCTCTTAGTCTTGCTTCCTTTTCTCCTACCAGCTACAAAAGCACTAGTGCCATCAACACTTTCATTCTCTGCAAAGGGAAATGCAAGGGAAATAACTTAGCAATCCCAACCAAAATATATATCAATCAAAATGACATTGTACATGCAATTATTGTTGGAGGAGAAGGAAATCAGGTATGCATCTAACACCAACAATAAGGATAATTAAACCTTATAAATAAACCAGGAAGCAGTAATGATTGCATCAACTTCAGTGACAACCAAACACATATTTGTGGTGACCATGATACCTGATTGACAGCTATCTGAAGGTCTTTTAACTGGAGGTACTGATGAATCAGCATTCCTGCTGGAAGCTTGTAAAGCGTCCGGATTACTAATAACAGTATCTGGTACTTCTTTTACCTCAACTGTGAGAAACCGAAGATTAAGAAGGTCACAAGTAACGATTCACGCAAACCGAAAGATCACAATATTTTCACGTGTATATTACCAGCTAGCCTTCCATTTTCAGATTTTGGTTCCTGATTGCCCTGAATGTCACATTTCTTGCCAGTTTTCAGCATTGAGATATCAGAATCTGATTTTTCATCACTGTTGGGCACTGCCATCAATTGAGAAATAAATTTTCTTGCATCAATATTGTATGCACGAACACGATTATCAACCTTGTTAGTTTCTGCATTGATCTTCAGATAACAGATGCTATCCGGATTTAAGTCATTTGCATACACTATGCATCCCTTCTGTGCTGCAGGGATAGCAAAAGGGCCAATACCAGCAAACATGTCACATATGATTTCCCCAGCTCGAAACCTTGAAACCAACCTGATATGTTCATGCTCCAATCTTGAATTCCAATAGACCAAACTGTAATCAAGCTTGAAAGTCGCTCCATATTGTTTCACTTCTGTAACCATATCATCTTCTCCCGCTAAAACTTCAAACTTTGGCACACGGAACTCATTTTCAATCGTTCCGACTTTATTAACAATTGTCTTGATTCTAGGATAATTTTTCTGTTAATACAAAAAGGCCAAACAAGACATAAGTATGTATAAAACATACTAACATGGTACATTTTCTTATGATTTAAAAAATTGCATATATAAAGAGAATGCAAGTGTCAACACCAAGCTTACAATGATAAAAGTTCCATAACAATAACCCTTGCAAAAACAACAAGGCCTTGCAAGAACAAAGTGAAAAGTAAAAGTCCAGCTGTGACAAACAAAACATTTTAACAGTATATATGGGGGAACACACTCCATGCAGATTATGAGTTAAAAATGAAGCTAGGTCAATATTGAGGCCAGAAGCGAGTGAAACATACATCATAGATAACTTTTGCAATGACATCCTTGTAGGGGAGTAATTCGTCATGAATATTCAGATGGGCAACATGACCTGCATGAGCACGAAGCAATGTTAGTCCAGCATCAGATATCAACACGGTTAATCCTTGTATACTAAACTGATAATAAACACTAAACAAAGATTATCAAGTTTTGCGCAGTAACTTGGGATTGTAAAGCTATGTAGAAAATGTGCAAGAAGTTGGCAAATTCTGAGTATGAAGACAAACACATAATGAGGAAAAAATAGAATCATGAAGAGAGTACTTAACTATAGTCTCGAAAGATGAAGGAACTTCCACTCCAGGAGGCAGAATCTGCTTCAATATATGGTCTGAAATCATAACAATCAGTAAGAAATTTGAACATCATTGAACAAATACAGGGTCAAAAATTCAAAATCTTATCAGTTAGAAACTTTGTATGCAATGCAAGAGTGGGGGTGAGTGTGTGTGAGGTTATGCAAAAGAAAGAGATTAATGAAAAAGATACCAAAAAAGCATCAAATCGACCTGCACCCCAATACGAGTATCCAAGTGTCAACGAATATGGAACTACTTCAACCTTGCATAAACCCTTTAGTTCATCGAGATTTTTTTCAGGAACATCAGATAGGTCTGCCTCACACAAAGAAAATTTTCAATTACTGACAAAAATGCACATAATCCACAGAGACCTTTATGAACACAAAAATTTGAAACTTGTTACCAGAATCTTGGACCCTCTCAGATAATATCATGTAACGGTTTTTTTCGCATGTTGGGTCTTCAGTAATCGGTTTTATGCGGGGTTTATCAAGTAAATATCTGCAAATAAAATACCGTCCAACTTATATAAACTATTACCATACAAAGCATTGCATTGGCAGCTACACACAGAGAGATGGAGACTTGCAGAGTTACCCATTTAGTATGCGAGTGGCGACCTTGCAAAGCTCACGAGGGATCCGAAGTGCCCACAGTTTCAATTGCACATCAAATTTACTTTCATCCAACATTTTCCTCTTTTTTTTGTAGAATAAAAAAAAAAGGCCTAAAATTGAAGGATGAACTTCAATGTTAGTATCTAAAGAAAAAGGGAAAGTGGAAGCCGGAGTTTCTTAGACCATCGGCTATTGCGGTAGGCTGCAGATTGTTCCGAAAGGGATTAGGGTTTAAGCAGTTCAAATGGCGGGTGGGAAACTATCCTAGTACGGTGTCGTTGCCGCGAAGAGGTTTTCGGGATCCTACTCAAACTAAATGGGCCCAATTTGAAAGTGAGCAGCCCATCTAATTCACTGAATTGGGCTTTAATGCAAATGCGAGAGAAGATAAATGATGTAGGTGGGTGGGTGCGTCCAAGTTTTTCTCCCACACGGCATGGTTGTCGATCCATCCATAAACCTATACAGATGCAAATTAAATTGAGTACTGAAAATTCTTGTGCAACTGATTTCAGTGCGACTTTTTTTCCTCCTCAGTTGTTGGATACTATTTTATTTATTTTTATAAAAGTAATATTGAGAGAGCGGAGATTCGAAGTTCGAATAAAGGACTTTGAATGTAAGAGTAATTACTTTTAACTGCTTAAGCTGCAAACTCTTGCATTAAAAATTCAATATATTATTATTAGGTACAACTTTGAAGTTTCCACTACCAAAATAAATAAAAGGTGTATATAGGCTTTTTAAATAGTTAGGAAATAAGGATATCTTATTTTGTGGACTATGAATGTATAATCGAAATCGTTCAATTTTTTATTTTTTATTTTTTTAGGGTTATTCATGCGAATAATAAAAATACATTGCTGAATATCCATGAGAAAGTTGCCTGCGCTTGGGTTAGAATAAAAATACATTGTTGAATATCCATGAGAATGAGCATCGCAAAAATTCATAAACATAAATTCATACATATTAGAAGTCATTGAATCATCGTATAATCAACACAAGAGTTGTAATAAGGGAACAAGGAAAAAAAAGAAAAAACCTTAATCATAAAAGAGAATAAGAAATGAAACATTAGCTAGAAAGACATAGAGGCAGCTTTCAAAAGCTAGATTAATCTAAAAGTTGGTACCACCCAAATTGGGGGGCACTGGGCCATCTTGATCATCGTCTTAGTAAGTGTGCTGTAAGGTGCTAAAAAGCATTGGTTTTCGACGTCGTATGCACCAAAATCAACTCCATATTGCAACTCACGATTATTGAAGGCTCTATCATTAAAATGATTGAAGTATATAAAATTTGGTTGATATCCTGGAAAATTTGACGCCGGCACAGCTAAGGAAGAGTTATCACCCACAAAAATAGCGATATCACCCAATGTTTTCTTCTCAATCCACTTATGCTCATCGAAATTCAATTCGAAAATTTTGACTTGCTTCGTGACATACATATCATCTTCGTCTAGCTCCGAAAGTCTGTGAACCATCAATACTTCTTTATCATTCAAAGCCACAAGATATTGCAACATGAACGGTGTTCGCTTAATACCTTGTGCAACAAATTTTATATCTGAATAGGATTGAGTAGTAATATCAAAAGTAAAAATTCTGCTCCATACGTCAACAACATAAAATTTGTTTTCAATGCAAACAACTTCGCGTATTCCCGTCACCTCATCAACATAAGTCCATGTTGTATCTTTAGAGAGTCGGAGAAAAGCCATATTAGAATAATGCCCAAATATCACCACAACAACGCACTCGTTTGCATTTAATATTGGGTCTGCTGTTAGCGTAGCCTTGTGGACATAATACTCATAATTTTTTGTCCAGAATTTCAATGCACCACCCTTATCATCTGGAGGCGTGATTAATGGAGGAAGGCGAATGATTGAATTTTCTTTTTCTTCCTTCCCTTTGGTTCTAGACAATGGGTCTAGTAGGGTTACTGCAAAGTTTTCTTCCCCGATAATTACCCATCCTTTTGAAGACCCACAAAAGCGCTTATTTGACGAGTTAACTTGCAAATCCAAAACTTTTTCATCCATGAGGTTGCATAAGTTCCATGTACCTTCTTGGTCAGTAGAAACCATAAGCATTGGAGGTTGGTCACGACCTAACAGCTTAGCACGATGGCTTTGATTATGTTTTGCTACAGAGTGCCATGACATACACATAATACTGAATCGCGCAAAGTCTAATTGCGCCACTAATCTATCTACAACTAAATCTAAAAGATGTTGAGGTAATCCAGCCCAATCTGAAAGACAAAATAAATATTTGTGAGTAAAAGAACATGAGAAGGAAAACATGTTTTGAAATCAAGAACGAGTTATAAATTATATACTTTGATTCATGGAAAATTAGAGGATATTATATATGATAATAAGTTGCAAAATAAATGAATAAAACAAAGATAATAGGATTTGTATAGAAAAGTTTCATTGAAGAGAACATGCCTGAATCCATGATTTTCTAACCGAGAAGAAGACTGCCCTGCCCTGAATCATATATGAATCAACGAGAGATGATCACCCCTTATATACAAGTAATTCCACTCCCTTTCCCTAATAGAATATGATTTTTTTTATTTATTAAAAAAGAAAAAGAAAAAAAGAAAAAGAAAAAGGAAACAAGACAATAAATTAGGAAAGTAATTAGACGAAGAACACGTTCTACAAGTCCCTGATAGAATAGGATTTTTTTATATTTATATACATAATAATAAATAAAAAAAATTTTAAAAAAGGAAAAAAGAGAATAAATTAGGAAAGTAATTAGACGAAGAACACGTTCTACAAGTTATTTCCTTTTATATTTAATTAGGTAACATACCCCTGCATTAAAAATTCGATATATTATTATTAGGTACAACTTTGAAGTTTCCACTACCAAAATAAATAAAAGGTGTATATAGGCTTTTTATAGTTAGGAAATAAGGATATCTTATTCTGTGGACTATGAATGTATAATCGAAATCGTTCATTTTTTTTAATTTTTATTTTTCTAGGGTAATTCATACGAATAATAAAAATACATTGTTGAATATCCATGAGAAAGTTGGGTTAGAATATAAGTGCACCCTCTTTCTGCTTGCTGACTTTGGTAAATACTAAATATTATATAGTTGCTCAACCAATATATCCTTTTCCCATCTTATTAGATAACTTGTTGGATTACAATAGCTCAACTACCAATTTATTCACATCCACAAATTAACATTCGACGGAAACTTCAACCAACCAAATTACAATTTATGCATGTCATGGATTCACATGAAGCAAAAGAAGCAAATCTGAGGTCAAAATTACAAAGAATCATTCTTTAGCTTTGGTGTATAATTTTGGCCTTGCCCTTGAAAATTTGAGTCCTTGACCCGAAAGCTCTATCACCAACCATGCTTCCCTTAACCGCAGCTTTTCTTCCTCAGCTTTCACTTTGAACTCTTGGAGAACAGCAGAAGCGATAAGACTGTGCCACACGTGGCCCAATCAATTTGGAAAATTCTTGGAGCTAGCTAGCTCTGGCTATTGGCTAATCTGATATGGAGTGGTCGTGCCAGCAGAGGAGCATCGAAACGCAGCGTCCGAGGATGTAGAACCGGGTCTTTTGGTGCTTCGCCATCATCAAGCACCGCTTTCGAAACCCCATTTTCCGGTGGCTTTTCCGGCGGACTCGGCGTCTGACTTGGTTTTGGGGAAAATTAGAACTTGTCATGGAGAACTGGCAGCGGCGAAAATCGGGAGGCAAGAAAGACGAAACTACAGAGTTATTAGTGTTTGAACGAACACGGAATTATATGGTTGTAGTTTTATTCTTTTATAGGCGATGGAGTTGTTGTGTGTGACATATGCGGCGGTCCCCACCTCGTCAGCTTGATGTTATTTCATTGAAATCTAACTTTTGCCCAATTTTACATTATTGTCCCTCTCCTATTTGAGGAGAAAAACTCTCATACAACGGAAATAACATTTTTTATTATCCCGATCACTCATTGTGTTATTGGTCGAGGATAGTAAAACAATTCACATTATAAGATTTTATTTTATTTTGCTATTATGCTATTAGAGCGATTCCACCAATTGACAAGGCCAGGGCAAGGGGGGCCCAAAAAGAAAAAACGAGTTCCAGCAGCCTTTTTTTGCCCCAGTTGGGTGTGGGCTCCACCAGCCTGGGCTTGCGGCCCTCAGGCAAAATCAGCCCTTGTTCTAGATGTCGGTGATGACGTTAGCCAAAAAAAAAATCTTTTTTTTTAATATATAAAAAATACTATATTTTTCATTATTTTTAAAAAATAAATACGTAGTCATATTTTTCACTTCCCCCATCAAAACTCTGTACAAATTCCTCTCCTCATATCTCATGTGAATAGTGGTTGCCATGACAATAGGTGGAAACACCACAAGCCTTTTGCAAGGGCCGCCACTATTCACGTGAACAGTAATAGCTCTTGCCTCCTTTTGCCATTACCATGGCAAATGAGTGGAAGTGCTCTTAGAGGCTTTGTGATTGCGTGTCAACAATATTGTCCCTTCCTCTTAATTTTGTTTGTATTCATATTCCCCTCATGTCATATATTCGAATTCCTCTCTTAGGTGTATTGGAATTCCCATTTCCCCAAATATTGCATGTATAGAAAAAACAACACTTAAAAACAAACAAATAAAAAATATGGCTATGCACACAACAACGATTAAATTGAACTAAAATTAATAGTTCAAGTTGGTAGTCTATTAAAAAATAAAATAAATCTCTATGATACAATAACATGTATTGTATAAGATTATATAATTGCGTTTGTGCGAAATTTAATCTGGTGATAATTTAATAATTGAATTGAAGCTTTTGTAACCATATAAAATGTGAAGGGCATTTAAGTAAGTCAGCATGCAACAAAACAAGAGTCTGGTCAAAAAGATCTGAAGAAAGCGGAGGCGGAGAGAAGCCGTGTGGAAATGCCAATTGGGCCATGTACAGCCCCCTCTACTGTAGCATATTACGACTATCCCTCGTGGCATTTTTGTCCGTATCTAATTTCTTATTGGTGCTATCGTCCTTCTATCTATTTATCCACGTTTTTCTGCTTTTTTTTATGCTTCTAGACCTGAGAGGCCATTACGAAAGCGACATGTAGGTCGGCCAGACCCGGCATTGGGTATACGACATGTCGTATTGTGATATTATATTACAGAGAACGTACCGCCGCCGACTTTATATGATTTGTCATAAACAAATAACAATATCCTACAGCAAGTGGCAGCATTATCCTCTTCTGCTTTTATATGTAAATTGTAATTGAAAATGCAATTTAGAGAAACATACTGACAGGAGAACTAACCTGCCAACAAGAAATCAATCATGCAAATGAAGAATTTTATTTTTTATTTTTTCAAAATTGTCATTTGATCTACTAACTACTTGAGAGAGTATGTTGTATATTGTCGAAGACCGAAAATACATGACGTTTACGTTTTCTGGTGGTAATATTTGTCAAGGAGCTTCTCTGTGTACTCTCCAAAGGTAAGATCACCATTTGGTGAAATCAACTGAAAGAGAAGACGATAGTTAAAAATGAAAGAAAGAGGAGAATAACGTGATGGTTGATGTGCATGCCTATGGTGGTGATGCATTACCTCTTTATGGATATGAATCTCCTCCGGAAAATTAAGCTTCTCATCCCTGCAAAAATGAATTATGCTTAACTACCATCAACCATTGCTTAAGATATAACATATGCGACCAGAGATGCACTTACCAGTCAGGTTGCATAAATAATGCAAATGTTGAACGATCAAGACTGCAAGCGTCCTCTCCCTTGGGTGCCTGTACAAACATCCAGTGAATGCCATTGGACATATGCCAAGGAAAACTTTGGTTCTTCGGGGAAGAGAAGAGGTAAATAAGAACGGGGGAGTTACTTGCACAAACTTGACATAAAGACTTATGTCTAGAGAACCCTGTTCTGAGCCAAGCTTAAGACAAAAAGTTTCAAACACACATATCATAGTAGAGAAAGTACCCGGACACAATGAGGTGTCGCACAAAGATAACCTCTTGACAGAATTTCAGTTGTTTCACCAATTTGGTATGCTATTGCATCTTCTCCAAAGACAACCTAATACATAAGCAATCATGGAAAATCATTATTGTCAACTGTATCCTCCATGACTAGAATTTTCAAGAATAAGAAGACATACTTTGACAATCTGATCTGTTCGTGTCCTGATATAAAGGCCAGCTCCACTATCAGGGCATGGTATTTCAACAGCATCTCTCGTAAACATGGCACAGGTCAGTCCTACATATTAATTTGAAGCAGAAATTAGGCACATCGAAAGAGTCCCAACTAGATAATTGCAAGGAAATTATACGCACTTTGTACTATTAATCTATATGTTATTGCATGAACAGCATGAACACATCCAAACTTAATGTTCATGTTATACAAAGAATTGATTTGATGGGTTACAACATATTGCGCATGCATAACATGTTGAGCAATAAGCACTGTCACGAATTAATTAAGATAATAACATGAGAAAAAATAAACCTGTAAGTGAACCATGGTCTGTATGCCATCCACACCAAGAAGACATGTCTTTATTATCTTCAGTAGAATTACTGCAAGTCGTAATTCACTTGTTAATATATTACCTCTGGGAGCCAAAAGATTGCATACCTCAGTACTATTTATTCTTTTAAACCTTGGTAACAATCTAATGCCATTCTTAACCTCCTTCCCTGATCATCTTGCCCATATTAAAACTGTTAATGTAATTCCTTTATATTAACTAACATGAGCATCATCTTATGCCGTTCCACTTAAGGGAATCTTGGTTTTAAGACCTCATAAAAGAATGGCACATTTCCTTCTTCTTAAATTTCAACATAGCAAAATGAATGATGCAAATATTACCAAATCTGAGAGACAAAGAATTTTCAAAAAGAACTTAAACTTCACTACAAACCGACGCATTATCAGCTATGGGTGAATTGTGATGAGGACAGAAAAAATAATTACCTCTCTTTTGTGGAAAAGTAATAAAGTAGCCGCCCTTTATGACACCGAGAACGAAAAAGTATTTGTTCAAGGCCTTCATCCTCACTCATTTTGATTGCTTTTGACACTGTTCAAGCACTCATCAAAATTTGTAAGAGTCATCCTAACAAGTCCCTGAAAATCAATAACAGCAGCGAGGTAGCAAGAAGACTATGGCATTTTGTTGGCCAGGGGTGTAGAAAAGGTCAATATCATTTAGCTGTGAGGTGTCGATCATTCTTTATCCCTTCTACACCAGAGACGATAAATTTAAGGTTCTTTGATGCAATCATGTAAAAGATTCAGAAATCTTGACTTAACCCTTTTCCAATATCATAGATTGTGTCATCTCAATTTCTTAAACCTTAGGCCTTATGAATACTCATATTATGATACTTGTTTTCTGGCCGGGGAAAAAAATATTCATGCATGATAAATGTTACAACTCAAGTATAAAATGAGACCTGAAAAACAACATAGTTATGTTCTCTTGGCGTAAAAACCATAACAATATAAGACTTTACCATATCTATCACAGTGAAATGCCACCATAAGCCCAACTCCAAGGATCAGCTTCCCGAGAGCTTTGAAGGCTACAAATCAAAAGGTCATATTCAGTGATAATAAAGCTAAATAATACATTATATAATTTAAAAAGTGAAAAGGCATAGAATGAAGGACATTGTAGAACTTTCTTTACGAGCTATAATAACTCAGTTTGTTGTTGCATAAAGTAGACACAGTAATGAAATATAAATCACCAGTGGTTACTCGGTCACAACAGAACTTTCAAAAAATACTTGCATGGCCATGGAACATCTATGAAACATAGAGCCAAGCAATCAGGCAAGCATCAGAAAGTCAACCACCATTAGGAGAAAAATTAAAGAATAACCACTTGTGGCCAAGAAAATCACATAAATTCAAGGGAAACATACCAACTTCAAGTTCTGGCAATTCACTATTAGGCCATATATTTGATCCACAGTATGATGGATACCTGGGTACAGATCACAAGCAAAAATCTGAGAATACAAAGCACAATGTTCTGTCTGCCCAAATCTGTAATTTCTCAAATGTGTTCAATACTGCTAAACATGTTACAGCATATAGAAAATTTGGCCTGGCCAATTTTATACAAATACAACCTTATAGGGAATGTATGTTAGTTATTCGTAACCATAAAAAACAAGTCTAGCCAAAATTTTGTGATCTGAGCCATATACTGTGACCTCATACAAAATAAAATGTCACACATAATCAGATTATGATTTTTATTTTCCTAGAGACTGTTACCTTTGAAGTAGATATTCATCTGTTGTAGGCCTATCTAACATTGGATTTGCATAAAAAGAGCCTTTTAACGTATCTGCGAAACCAAAACACAAACTAAAAAGAATTAATAACAATCATGTGACTATGCATGATTGTAATTTTTTCTTAGAGTTTGCAACAAGAAAAAAAAAGGGGGAGGGTGATACCTGGCTTTCCAGATTCCAGCTTCTCTTTTCCATGACTCCATCCAAAATTGTACCTACATATGGAAGGCGGGTAAAAAGAAGATAAGTGATACACATCTACCGAGAATGATGAATTATAGTTCTCATCAGATGAATACAACAAGTACAAACAGATTCCCAAGAAAAGCACTAAAGCTAGGTAAATAAATTTAAGAGTTGAGTCTTGTAGAGAATATTTTTGGAAACTCGCTATTAAATAAAGAATAGATTGATGTTTGTGTTTATACAGAAAATCTGTCAATGGCTTAAGAGAGATCAAATCATAAGGATGGAACCAAAATGCCTTACCTACTATCAGGATCTTCGAGTTCCTTCTTCACCTCTTCCGGCAGATTGGCTAATCTAATTAAAAACAAATAAAAATTCCCATGAGCGGTGCTATATCAAACTATCTTCCTATATTCATATGAATTTCTGGTAAAATGATCATGCAAATCCTATGTAGAAGGTTGCACCTAGGTGACAGGTGTAGAAGATTTCTGCGCAAGGAAGAATATTCCGGAACCTGCAATTGGAAACTCAAGGAAACAATCACAAAGACACTAGAAAGCAAGTACTTATCAGTTCAATACAATATGATTATAGAGCATAATTACTAATTAGGTTTAGCATGTAATAGAACGCATAATCACTGATTAACAAAGGAAAGTAAGAGTATCCAAAAGGAAAGAAAGCATACATCGGTGATTGATAAGATTCCTAACCCATTAGGTCCAAAGCCTTCTTCAATCTTCAATGACAAGTCCGTGTTCTTGTCCTGCCTCAATCAATGAATCCATCAAACAAAAAATACGTAAATCAGAAAATCAAATTCTTGACATGCGCGATATCCACGAGTTTAGCAGAGCAAAACATAGCAATTAAAGAAAACTAAGAATAAAACAAATAAGACTCTGTTTGGATGCTAAGAAAATAAGAATTAATTCGGTGCGGTTAATGATTACAACAAAAAAGTGAACACAGAGTATATTACACTAATTTCGCTGAATTATGTTGAGTTTCTAAGCAACCAAGCATCAAATAAAGCTAATCAATCCGAACTCTTCTGTTCAATTTTCTCGGTAACCAAACAAACAAAATTGAGTGAGAGAGAAGGTTACTTTGAGCTCCGAGTACGATATGGTGACTGGCGTGACGGTGGGGACGGTATTCTCGGAGGAAGAATGCATACTTTGTATACGTTGTTATACTTTGGTACTCTCGGACGGTATTCTCGGTGCAATAGATACTTACGTTATTATTACCTTATACCCATAATGCCAAAAGAAAAACTGTTTCAAGGTATTTCTGAATAAGGAGGAACACGAAGCCCACAAACCCACGTGGGAAAATACTCGGTCCATAGTGAGGGCCTTTTATTCCCAAAATTATAGAAGCTATGTGACAAATTGTGAAATGAGCGGGTTGGCTGCTGGATCAATTTTTATCCTTTTTTTTTTAAAATTAATAAAAAGAATCCGCAAAAATTATCGCAATGCTATTTAATTTATCACACATGGGTCTTTTTATTTATTTATGAGACGGCAGTACAAAAAACATGAAAAGCGTCCAAGTGGAAAATGGTTTATTCACCTACTTTCCACTCAATGGCATCCGACAAGACAACCCGTCGGTCTAATGTTATTGCTGAAGCTATGATAGGAATTTTATCTACAAATTTTATTTTGCTTTGGGTAACACAAGATGAAGATAGGTCGTTTTCACATGCCAGTCACACACTCAACTCCCCAACGTTTGGGCTCAATGGTTCGAACAGAGCTTCCACTTCACTCTCATTAACCTCCTCTAACTTTGACGGGTTCCACTTCGGATTCTGCATGCACAGTAAACACAAACCAATATTACAAATTCGTTTGATGGTCTAAAAACAAAAGGCAAGGAGCAATTTTACAAAAGCATAAAGATTGTAACGATGGATTTATATTGCAACTTCCAGATTCAATGAGCATATTAACTAACCTGGTCCTTGTCCACCAAAACAGCCCGCACACCTTCGGCAAAGTCATTCCGCAAAGACGATCTTAAGGCGATGCGATATTCAGTTTTCATCACACCACTTAACTGGATTTGGACAAGTACAGAATGAGTACACGTTATTTTCAGAACAGGCGAGCTACTAGAAAACAAAAAGGAATGCAACCACATGATGAAAGAAACAAAAAAGGTAGAAACTCCAGACTCACTGTGGATAATTGATTGTCATTTTTCCCCAGTGCAGATGCAACTCTGGAGAAATACTTTTGTGTCAAGTAAAGTGAAAAGGGAGCACCCTTTCCAAGACCTTGAAGAGCTTCATTAGCCCACTCCACCACTGCAACACAACAGTGAATCACAACCAACAACAAAACAAAAAGGCAAACCACCATAACTGACAGTGACACCCAAACCTCTCTAATAGACAAGTATGATAGATTTCATTTCATTATCAATAAATACAATCACAAACTTACCAGTAGCATCTGAACTCTGTTGATGCTTTTTAAGTTCATCAATTGTCTCAAGAACTGACTTATTTGCACCAAATGCTGAAGTTATTTGAGGCAAAAGCAACCTTAATTGGGCTTCAGAATCAGGGTTGCTGCTGAATTTCCCCAAAGTGGTTTCAATATCCTGATGTGGATCTTGGGAACTGCATCAACAATGGAGTTACTTTTATATCAACAAGCCATTTTCCAATGTGATGATGCCAACCAACTTTAACCCCATGTGCGCATAAAAATATGAAGAAAATAAAATAAATAAAAGAACGTGGAAAGAAAATCAAAAACATACAAGTTGGTTGACAAAAGGGCCTCCTTTAGTAAACCTAAGTTTTGAGATGGCACAAAATGTGTCCCGAGGCCTACATATAGTGCATCTGATGGTGTTGAAATCCTTTTCCCAGTCAGTCCAAGATAAGCACCTAGAAACATAAAACACTGTTAAACAACCATAGAACAAAGAATTGATTTATGAAGCAAACAGAGAAATCTTATACGCCATTCTCCTTATTAATGAACTAATTTACTTAAATTTTGTAGTTTCTCCATACTTTCTGGTTGTAGTACCTATATGACTACTTTCTATAGTCCGTCAAAGCTGGAAAAACAGCTTACACCATTTTAAGGGAAAAAACTGCAAGAGGATAAGAAAAGCATACCAACAGATCCTCCTCCTGGACTCTTAGCCGCTATATGTGAAAACCCAACATCTGGGAACAAACCAATTCCATTTTCTGGCATAGCAACAAGAGTCCTCTGAAATGCATCCATACAAGAGAATTTAAATACGTGAAATTCAGAAAGCCATTGCAAACAATTGACAAAATTGACAATATCTGTCTGACAAGGTAATTAACCTCTGTAATGATCCGGTAGCGACCATGACCTGATAGGCCAACTCCAAATCCCATTGTAATGCCGTCCATGAAACTTACATAGGGCTTCTTGTACTCAGAGATTTTGCATATCAGAGAATACTCAGCAGTGAATACCTGCAAAATGTGCAGCCCAAATATCATATCAGTAACCTCTCATTCTTAAGAATACTACAAATGGTAGCTCAAAAAAGATATGCATGCTTTCCAACTAATACAAATGATATTACCCAAGTTCAAGTGCAACCAAAACCAAAACCAAAAAAATGACCAGATGTTGTAACTTCTCGAGAATGTCAAATATGAAATTCCCAAAGAACAAAATTGTGTATTGAGAATTAACTACCAAACAAATACATGCAGAAAGCACAATCTTATCTGCAATTTATGACATTCATACAATATTGAATCACCAAACCAATTAAAAAAACACAGAGCAGAACTCATATAAGTGAAATCCACTTTAAAAGGTTTAGATCTATCTCAACATCTTAAATGTATTTGGTAAGAAAAAATACTTAGGAGCACGTCCTAAAACCTACTAAATGTCGAAGATTTAGACCAAAACACGATAACAGTACAGTAGACTTTTGTTTTTAATACGAACAGTGACTAAATTAATAAGAGTTAAATTAGTTTACATCAAGATATGCATCATTATGATGCTAATGCACGAGTGTTGTTGTAAAAAGCACTTTGCTTGTATTAAGTCTTAGTCATCAATGGTTTTCAAGGGTCAATGGTATTGCTAGTTGTAAATTCTACCTAATTTGAAAATCACCAGAATTGCATATAAGATGGTAGAGAAGACAGTCATCTAATATTATCTGGATATTAGCAAAATGTATAAGGTTATAAGCCTGTTATTATCTATAGTTAAAAGGACACTCAACAAGACCTCAATCATATACGGTAGTTGGTTTTTGGTTGTGATCTGCTTCACATCACCCCCTGCAGGTAAACTAAAATCTGGGTTATCAATGAGACAACAAGCCCACTTAAGGGACGCCTTATGTTGTACAAAAATGCAACATAAAAAGGAAAGAAGGAAACAATAAACAACATGAAATGAAACAGCAAGAATGACCAAGACCAACAACCTAACAAGAACCTAAACAAGAAACAATTCTAGATCAAAGCAAGCGTAATGTAGAAACCTTCGGCACAAGAGGTGTGTTTTTGTCCTTTTGGATTTCAGCAACAACCCCTTTAATATCCATTCCTGCATTTACCATGATTGGTCACTCTCAAAACCTAAGACTCAAAAACAAAAATAACCGCCTAAAGAGCTAAACAGACATCTCTAGGAAAACTTATTTAGCGACACAGAATATTTTTTTAAATTTTATTACATGCTAAAACCGAAGTGTAAAATGGGCAAGAAAAAACTTCTCAAAAACGGAAACTCTATATCTTCTCTATGTTACCCGCACAAAACGCACGAGCTGAGCTGCTATCAACCAAAACGCACTTCACATTTGGGTCTGATTCCCATTCATCCAGATGGCTTTTGTATTTAACATCCATATCTGCATTTTGAAACAGGTTCCACTTAAAAATATACACAAAATTCTTTGTAAAGCTAACTACTTTGAAATATCTACCAGACATGACATTTTATCGCAAATGAACTAACGATCTTTACATGTAATGTAATAACACGGAATTTTTGTTACTAATAAGATGCAATAAAATTCAAGCTTGAAAAAAAGAGCTCCAATTTTCCATATGCAAAAGCTTTTACACCTATATACCTATGTTCATGGCGTTGAGAGCTCTGGGGCGATCGAGCGTGATGACAGCGACGCCGTTTGGGTGAACGCTACCCTTGACGAACTCATCGGCGCTGGCCATGATCGCAAATGTTCGGAGAAGGAGAGGGGCTTTGGAGGCTTTGCACAGAGAGAGCTTCGAATTTGAGCTGAGGAAGAAGAAAGCGGACGATTTGCTCAGAGTTTGGGTAGCTCCGAATAAGCTTCGCATACTTCGGTTTTTATCTGGAGTGGGAGAGCCCGAGAGTGGGACTACATTGAGAGGAGATATTTTGGTGCTTCTTGACCGAATTACCCTTGATGTTTCGGTTAAATTACCGGGAAAGAACTGCCTCGCTGCCAGTGTCCCGGAAGGAGACGTTCTGACAGTGTGGTGGCGGGCAATGATTGGACTTTGCTTTGTGGCGTGAGGGTGTTAATGGTAATTCAGGCTATGACCAAAATGGATGGCTCATCATTGGGCCAGCCCATTGATCGTACATGGGCTTAGTAGCCTAATTTTTAAAACAGCAAGCCCAACCTTGATTTCCATTTCCATTTCCATTTCATCTAGCTATTGTGCATTGTTTAAGAAAGAGAGTTGCTAAATACACCCAAAGATTTACTTACTACATCCAGCCTCCAATCTGGAATCTTACAAAAATAATAAAATTTGGAGTTTTGGTTGGGAAACTCGAGGGCAAGTTGAAAATCTTGGATACTTTTTGGATACAATGTTCAAATTCTTGAATGCATGGGCCCACTTTAAGAAATATTAGAATTAGCCTAAAATCTTGGTTGGTGGCCACTTTGGATTCTTTGATGTTCAACATGTGTTCTTTGTCTCATTTACCAAAAAAAGGAAAAAAGATGTCACTTCGTTGCTTAGTAGCAAATAAAAACTCCAATCCAAACTAATATATACTACACATAACCAAACACAATATTGTACATGTCAAACATGGAATGATACGAAATACAAATGATATTACGGAAAGGAAGAAGAAAACACCGGACTTCCAGTGCAAAAGTGAATACTCTTATCTACTTGAGTAATTAACCGATTGCCACGGGTACCCATGTCTTGTCGCTTCCACCATATAATTATTCTAGCTATATAGCTCCTAATCAAACAAAGGGCAAACTAAAAACTAACTAATTAATTCACCCCAACGATATCTGGATCTTGATGATCAAATTTAAGGCCTAAGACTTTTCCCAGCACATCAAGAAGCTCAAGGTGGGCAGTCAACTGTGGGAAATGGCCATTGGTGTTTATAATCTCCACAGTGGACTTTCCCTTGATTTTCTTCTGCATGTAGAAGGCGACCGAGTTTGGAGCAACAATGTCAGAGGAGGTGTTGATGATGGTGCATGGAGTTGAAACCTGGTCAAGCACGTCTCTCTGGTCGCTGTAAAAGACGGTTTTGGCCAAGGCCAGCGCAACGTCAGGCCTCATTCTGCGCAGGCACTTGACAAACTTGTCGACAGAAAGAGGGTCATTTGCATCCACAGCAAGGGAAGCGAAGTAGGCAGCCCAGTTGTGATAGTTGGATTCTATGGCTGAGATGATTTGTGTAATGTCTGACATCTCTAACCCACCTTCATAGTCTTCTGTATTTATGTACCTATATAAACATATTTATATTTATGCATTAATGGCATGAACAGAAATATTGTAACAAAAATAGCTAACAGACGGGGGCCATGACAGTGAGTTCGTCCCTTACACTCAAGTTCGAGTTCCCGCTATATTAGATTAACATGAACAGTTTAGACTATCACTTCTATCAAAAAAGCTAAAAGAGGAAAATTGTCATATAGCTGAAATTAATCTGTGGCCACAAATATACAGCTTATATCAAGTGTCTAACCAGAAAAGAAAAGTAGAAGAAACCAAAAAAGAAAATTAAGGAGAAAATTAGAAATCAGGTAAATAAATTACAAAACAAAATATGTAAGGCTTGAGAGAGAAAGAGTACCTAGGAGAAGCTCCAATGAGGATGAGGGTCTTGAAGAGGTCAGGTCTGTTAATGGAAGCAATGCATCCAATCATACCAGACATGGAGTGGCCAACAAAGACAGTGGATTTCAAGTTGAGCTCATCCAAGAGGGCAATTAAATCATTTGCAAAAGCATCATAGGAAGAATATTTGCTAGGATCAAAGAGGTCCTTGTTGTTAACAGCACCTGAGAAAGGCCAGTCAAAAACAACAACTCGGTAATGCTCAGCCAAGTAGGGGACGATTTTGTCCCACACAGACTGGTCACCTCCATACCCATGAGCTAGAACTATGGTTTCTTCACTTCCTGATGAGCCCATAATTTTTGTGTTTATGGCTGATGAAAGGCTCTTTTCTAGCACCATTTTTTTCTGGTTTTTTTTCTTTCTTTTTTATGGAGTCCACCAAGAATGATCAAGAGAGAGAGAGAGAGAGAGAGAGAGAGAGAGAGAGAGAGAGAGAGAGGCAGGGAGTGAGTTGTGGACTTAGGATGATGAGAGAGCTAGAACAATTGGGTTTGGTATTGTTTGCTCATTTGTGTTGGCCCTGGCTAGCCTCCATTTTATAGGACCACAGGAATGGATTATTGGGCAAATAAAGAGAAATAAGAAGACTTAGTGCCATTAATGATTGAGATTATATTGCTTGGTGCTACTTGTTAATTAGTATCTTTTAATTTGTGGAAAAAAAAATTTAAGAAAAATTATGTAGTTTATGTGGTTGGAGTATCACCTGTTTATATAATATATATAACTCTAAACTCTTGAAAAGAGAAAGTTTCAAAAAGTAAAGAACATGCGATGATGAATTTATGGTGGTCGTTGGGATCATTAGTGACCTTGACTTTTTGTTTCTGTAGACTGCCTCCACCAGATAGAAAGAAAGAAAGAGAGAAAGATCAGAATCCTGTGTGTTGAATCTTGTTTTCTGCATGTTGTTAATGGCAGGCACCCTTTAAATCAATACATCAATTCTAATTAATTTTTACCACTGCTAAGGCTAAGGCTGATCAGTTATCTGACAATAAGACTTGAATCAGTTTGGGGGTGAAAATTATGCAAAACTTAGACTCAGTTTAGTTTAATCTCTCATGATTTGCAATGAGCCAGAGCCACAGAAATTTGTTTAGCTGGTTTTGTTTAATGATGAAATATCATGCTGCTGGTTATATAAAGAGAGAGAGAGAGAGAGAAAAAAAAGAAAAAGATCTGCACAAGGTTTTGTGGGATCAATATGGAGAAAGCATGACCACAAGAAGAGAAGAAGATGGCAACTTTACTGGAAGAGTCTGTCTGTCTGGTACTGTCCAGTGGGGATTTCATATTTAAGAACATGGTTCTTCAGACCCAAAAGGACCCATTTGTCTTTTTTTGCTGATTGTGTTGTGACATAAGAAAAGTTTTGAGATAAGTCCAAGGCCAACCTTTTTCTCCCATTAAAGCTTTGCATGGCCCGCCACCACGTTCTTTCTATTCATCATTTCAATTTTTAAACCAGATGCAGGAACCTGTATCATCAAAATCCAGACATGTTATTTTCATATTTGATGTTTTTGCCATTTGAGTTGTCCCTTTGGGTTGCCAATGGATGGATAGTTCCATCCAACTAAATTAATTTCTTGATCGATTCCAGGTAAAATTCTCCATTATGGCGATTCTATACCATAAAATAATCAATTATGTCAAACATGACATGACTAAGAAAAATTGATTTACGCCAAAAGAGGAAAAAGAAAAACCGATCAAAACTGCGGTAAACTTATGAGTTTGGCCTAGTATGAAACCTGTCTTCTGCTTATTAGGAATTTAGAGATCATGCAATTGTGGCTAAAAGTAGCCACTAACTAGTGGAAAAAGACTGAAGAGTGGTCATCAACTTTCTATAGTAAATTAAAACCAACCTTCTTGTTCCCAAGGTAAGAGATAAAAGACTTTTGGAAGATTATATTCAGATCCTCGCGATGGATTTTGTACTCTTTTTGAACAGATTTGGGGAAGATTCTCTTGTCGAAGCGTGTAGTAAAAAGGAAGAAAATAAGAAAAACAAAAGGAAAGCACAAAACAGAAAGCGAAAAGACCTCATCAATTTGCTAAAACAGTAATTTACGTGGATAATATATGTACTTGTCTTTCACAAGTTTAGTTGGAGATATTTAGTTCAGTCAATTAGAATGTCTCTCTCTCTCTCTCTCTCTCTCTCTCTCTCTCTCTATGAAACTAAACCCAAGTTCAACTAGATATAAAAATCCATGTTGTGACAACAGACAAGACATTAATTGAATGCTATCTTGTTCGGATGGGAGAAAGAAATACAGTTCAATAACGTATCCTGGATTCCTGGGATTCTATATGATCAGAAAAAGCATCCTCAAGAAAATAAGGGATTGAGGAGAGCCTATGAAAACAGACAAGCATTGGCAAGTTGGCAACTGACAAGCAAAGATTTTGTCTTTTCTCTCATGCTCCAGTCACTTTTGGCTGAAAGTAACTATTTTTAACAGTTCTTCAACTGTTCGAGTGTTCGTGTTGTTGATATTTCTACTCTTGGCATTTATGGTGACATATATTATTGGCGATTTGATTTGCAGGAAAAAAAAAGAAAAAGAAAAAAGGATTTCCATCTTGTCATGCATGATGCATATTAGGACTAATTCAGTTCAAATAAATAATTGCAAAGATTTATTGACTTTTTAAATATGAACATTGACACAAAATTCAGAATTGTTGTGTTGACTCAAATCCCTCAGTCACCTCAGGCTCTCTCAGCTAACAGATGTAGAATTGATGAGAAGCAGGCCCCAGTTATGCCATGTGAAGTAAGGCCTCGTTTGCAAAAACATGTTTGACAACATTTGTCTTTAAGGCCACAAAGCCAGGAGAAAAGAAAAACATTTGTCTTGCTAATTAGCAAGATTTTGTTGACCACACGGCCAGCAAATAGGTTTTAAAGTCTGAACCGGATCTTGGAATCTAAAGAAGAAGCCGAATTTTGCCTTTTTACATGGTGGCTGCTCTGCTGATCCAAATTTACTGCTCTTCTTCTGCTCCAACAAAAGTAGGTCAGGTGAATAGTTACATAATTTAATACATTTCACATGTGGATGGTGAATAGTTATATCATTTATTTATGGGGCATATATGGTGGTTGTGAGTCTCATACCTAACATTAACAGGTCACTGTCATAATGCGTATTTGCAGTAACATGGATGCCTCTCTCTCTCTCTCTCTCTCTCTCTCTCTCTCTCTCTCTCTTCTCTCAGGAGGAGTGATAGGACAGCTGCACATGCGTGCATCAACAGCATGGAGTCGATAAAACCATGACCATACCCATGCATGCCTTTGAGTAGAACTTGATTCTAAAAATCACCAGTTATGAGGTCTATTTTTCAGTATGAAATCTTGATTCTAAATCCGTCGCTTCAAGACAATACTTGTCTGTTCGGTGTCAATAACACTTGGTTGGCATATCCTCGTTTCAAGTGTCACTTAGATGGGATTATGCATATCTTGGTGCAACTATGCAAAAGGAGAAAATTAATTGCATGTTAGGACAGGGACTTAAAATGTTTAAAAGGTGTATGAACAAGCGGTTACCTTATGTTTCATGCCAAAACTAATAGATCCAACCAGATTCCAGAGGCTTAAAACAACCTGGCATGGAGGAGAGATTAGAAAAAAAAGATCGAAAAGGTATACTGGGATGGTAATATCATCTTGTCTTGTGTCACACGCGGGCATGGTTAAACTTAAATCCTGCAAGAAATCCTTTGTTGCGGTTGCCATTAAAGCCAAAAGTTTTCCAACTCGTTCAAAAGCAGAGCATTGACTGTTTCAAAAGCACAAAAAGGTGGTTTGAAAGTGTAAAAGCTAGTAAAGGGAGAGAAAAGTAGAGAGAATAGTGGACGCTGGAAGAAAACTAAATGCAAAAAGGTCCCCCATTGAAAACAGTTGAAGAAGACATTAATAGTTGCTTGTGCCATTCAAACACCCTTTCTGGGAAAAAAAATAATGATAATATCTTTATGCAGATAATGCTCTCATTTATTGGGCGGTTCCTAATATTGATTAAAACTGCAATAACAAGCAGACCTTTTAGAACTGCTTCCGGCTGTTGTTTCTGACCTCTTACTATTATGCTTGTCAGTTGCCTTTTGCATTAACTTTGAGGCTGGTAGGAGATGCATTCAATTTCAAAATCTCTGTTTTCTGATGGGGTGTTTCAAAGTGGTTCATTTTGATCTGCGAATGGCTGGAAGTTTGTCTTTTCAATTTGCTCGAAGCAGATGAAAAGGATCATAAATACAAATTTCTGCAAGTAAAGTTTCCCTGAGACAATAAACACTATTTTTTATCTTGAAGATATACAAAGATCCATTTCAATTTGTGAAGAATTATATATATCAGATGATATGAACAAGGGAAGTACATGACTTGTTGAACTAGTAGTGGTTCAAGATCCTAACTTTTGTGTTTGAACAAGCACAAAGAGGGATGAAATTTGGAATGATGAAGACTAGTGGACCAGATTTAGTAAGATTTTCATTATAGGAATGGTCTTTTACAAATATGCCCCGAACCCAGGAACATCTGAACTCCAGTCTAATTTTAACAAAAAAACTAACTATGTGTACTGTGTAGAAGGATCTGTGACACCCTATTAATATTCACTTGAAGTTATCATACCTGTTGAGGGCAGAAAAGAACAACATTAGTTTATTACCATTAAGGATGATGCAGTAAAAGAGATAAATAGTAAGAATGTTAACTTGCCTGGGAAGGAACTCGTTGAGGAACATCAACTAGCCGCTCGATTGTCTGCAGCTGATCATAGGGTGCAATCTGCACCATTATATAAAAATTTATACATTGATCATAAACAATATATTTTATTTTGACTTTAGAAAAAAAATAAAATTATATGCTATCTGGGTAATTAAGCCATTTTGATTTTCGAATTTAGTCCACACTAATTGCAGAGATTTGGCATGCTTTGCATTTCAGTCGAAAAGGAGTTAGGTTGTCGTTATTCTCGTGAAGTTGACACTTTCCTTGCATAATGCTGGTCCCTTTCAAAAACTTTTCAGAGTGTGCCAATGAAGAAATCATCCATGATATGGTTTCTTTTAGTTGATTAATTCAAACAAGACTTTTCTTACCTGACTAAATCCGTCTGGCCACGTTATTGAGACGGCATAATTTCCCATGGGCCGAATCTCTTCAGGTTCAATATCTTCTGGAACATCAGCAAACTGTAACTTTTGCTCCCCTGTCCATTCATCCTGATTTTGCACAAAATTAGCCACTGAGACATGTAGATTATTGGGAACTTAAGACAAGAATCACAAAACTCAACAGCGATGATCTC